GAAGACAACTTTGAAATTCAAAGCTCTAGACCCGGTCTCTCCCACTGTGTGGTCTCCAAAAAGACCCTTGCAGCTTGTCTGCCCCACGGGCGTCGGTTTCATGGCATGTGCGCCTACTTGTAACCAGAACGCCATTCGAACCGCATTACTAGTAAGCTGTAAAGGGGATACTTCATGGGTATGGATCCTTACACCAACCTTACGTCGTTTCTTGGCCTCTGTTCTCCCTTTCCCTGGTCATATCAACCTCTCCTTGCAAAGTCTTCCCACCAGGGCAGCTTCTCGAAATGGCGATGAAACACCACCTCAGACCCGAAAGCCCATGGCCCAGTCGTACCTGTTGTGGGCGAACGGAACAACCGAAAAATAGTAAACGTTTATTTATCTCGACCCGAAAGTGACCCTCGCCGCACTGACTCTCTCTCGCCCATCGTTGCCTCTTCTTCATCCAATCTCTTATCGACACTCGTAGTCAATAAACTTCACTTCCCGAACGATCTCCTTGGTAGCTGGCTACCTCAGACTGGCTCTGATATATCAATGACTGTTTTTTCCCTTACGTATTCTAATATCATTTAAACTATTGTCTTTTTTCCTCATGTCATCAGATCTTCACCGTCGTACGAGCCACCACTCACCATATAGTACCTCCACCGAGGCCCCAGAGCCAGCGGATCGATTGACAACAGACCTCGCAATGGCATCATCTGTGGACGACGAGCGACCAACTGCGGTCGATGTTCAGCGACTCTCCACCCTTTGGGAGAATCGCGGTACGATACATGTCATGGGTGACAACACGAACCAGTCGGACGCCGCCGTACCAGAACCAACCTCCATCGAGCCACCAAGCTCTGCAGGAACCAAGAAATCACACTTCTGGCAGTCAAATCTTGCTTCCATTCTCCCAGATAGCAGGCCGAAACATGAGAGGACGGAAAGCAGCGAAAGCACGGCAAGCGGATCCAGTCAAGGCTCAAGCGGCAGCAGCACCGTAGTAGACGAGAAGGTGTTCGAGGTCGGCGGCGGCAACAAAGCAGAAAACAAGGGATCGGCGACGGCATCGGTCAATGAGATTGAAGATATCACCATCATCAACAACAACGACGACAACTCACGCCAGCCACCAGAAGAAGCCGCCTATCATGTGTTTACCAAGAAGGAGAAGTGGTTGGTCACGGTCATCATCGCTTTGGCGGGCCTTTTCTCGCCTCTTTCTAGCAATATCTACTTTCCGGCTTTGGGGGCTATTGCCAATGTCAGTCAATTATACACACACCCATGAAGTTGTTGTGGTTTTAAGGAGTTGGAAAAAATCATGGCTAACTCGCTTTGCAGTCCATCCATACCGATATCGCGCTTGTGTCCTTGACTGTAACCATCTACATGGCAGTGCAAGCGTTTGCGCCATCATTCTGGGGTCCCCTCAGCGACACGTGCGGACGCCGTGTCACTTTCATCGGCACATTTGTTGTTTTTCTCGTCGCTAACATCGGATTGGCTTTCAGCAAGAACTTTGCGACGTTGATGGTATTCCGCGCTATTCAAGCATTTGGTAGTGCCGCTACCATCTCCGTCGGAGGCGGAGTCCTTGGTGACATTACAACTGCAAAGGAACGGGGTGGTTATATGGCTGGGTTTAGCGCAGGTGAGTAATTCCCATAGACTTTTTAAAAAGGGAACGAGGCAACTGACAGTTTCTCCGTTCATCAGTCCGCATGTTCGGCCTATCCATGGGTCCAGTCATCGGCGGTATCATCACCGAGTATCTCGGCTTCCACGCCATCTTCTGGTTCCTCTTCATCCTCGGCAGCATCACTCTAGTCGCAATCTTGCTCTTTCTCCCCGAAACCCTCCGTCGGATCGCCGGCAACGGCACCGTCCCGCTCAAGGGCATCCATCGCCCTTTCTTCGACCGTCCGCTCCGTCAGCGCTACTGGAAAGAACGCGATGCAACAACCGAAGAAGACGACCTCATCGCGCCCCCTCCCAAACTCACATTTTCCACTTTCTTCGCCTCTTTCCGCTTCATGGCCGAGAAGGACGTCATCGTTACCCTCTTCTTCGGCGCCATCGTCTACACAGTCTGGAGCATGGTGACCTCCTCCACCACGGCCCTTTTCCAACCTCGTTTCGGACTCTCCAATCTCCAAACCGGTCTGATCTTCATCCCCAACGGCGTTGGCTGCATCTGCGGCTCATCGTTGTCAGGCAAGATCATGAACCGCGACTACCAGATCGTCGAGTCCAGCTACCGCGCCTCCCACCACCTTTCGGGCTCCGCCGAGATCAACCGCAAGAAACTAGCCGACTTCCCCATCTCGCGCGCCCGCCTGCGCTCGTCGCTGTACTTCGTCATCCCCTTCATTATTACCGTCGCGGGGTACGGCTTCGCTATCACATCCCCGCGCTCGGCACGGAAAAGAAGGGCATGGCTCTCCCGCTTGTGCTGCAGTTCTTTATCGCTTTCAGCCAGATGGGTTTGTTCAACCTGAACAGCACCCTGATGGTTGACCTCTACCCGGGAGCGAGCGCGAGCGCGTCGGCGGTTAATAACCTCGTGAGATGTCTGATTGGTGCTGTCGGTGTTGCGCTGGTGCAGTTCATTATCAACGCGATCGGTGCAGGCTTGACTTTTTTGATCTTTGCGATTGTTACGGTGGCTTTTACGCCGTTGCTCTGGCTGGAGTGGAGGTTTGGTGAGCGCTGGCGGAGAGAGCGAATGGAGAGGTTGGAGAGGCAGAAGAACGAGAAGAGGGCCGGTGATGGTGGAGAGGCTGGTCGGGCGTAGACTGGTGAGACAGGGTCAGTCGAGTTTTAGAGGCGCTGGTCGCGGTTGGAGATGTGATTCATGCGACCTGGTTGGTCGTGGAAGAGCGGGCGGACGGCGTGGATCGCTGTGCGTAGAGTTCGGAGCGAAGGAGCTGGTCTTTTCTAATCATCGCTTGTGTCTGTTGAATTGGTATTAGTTTTTGAAGCGTTCACGCAACAGTTGACGGTTTGGAAATTTGGGTGGTCATTGGATTCGTAGGGCATTGGTTTTTCTTGATAGACTAGAGCTGGAAGGCCCGGTCGCTAAAGACGTCTTGGATATCTTGATGGTAGAGCGGATAGACAAAAGTCGGTGAACAGTTGGCAACTGAGTTAGAGGAAAATAAATCAAGGCTGTCGTCGAGGACAATTGCTCAGAGTTCCTTCCAAACCGTGATGGCTGTCTGATTCGAGTGTCGACCGTCTCGCCCTCACGTGCTATTCTCGTGACTGGAGGTGAATCCATTGTTCCCGCTTGAACCGTGCACGTACTCTCTCAGTGTTGTTCCCTCCTTCTGTCAGTCAAGTGAAGAACAGAACAGAACTTTGCCAGGTCGCGTGCCTGCCCCCTTGTGGCCTTGGGCATCCAGTTCCACAAATTGGTCCTGTGAAGGGCTCAGTTCAGGTTCCCCTCCAAGGCGGTGTCCCAAAGCAATTAGCAAACCTTCCAGTCCCTTGAAGAATTTTCACAGATGACCATTCCATCTCATAGTCCCAGCATTTCGAATTGTGGTGACTTCATCGAACCATTTTCCATCCCGTTTGTTTACTTCCCTTCCCTTTTGGGCACAGAAGTGGAGCGGTTTTGTGGGTCTTTTTACAGTTCTTGGCAGGGGTGCGACCCGTCCAATTGGGTGAAATTGATCTGGACCGTCACTAACACGGGATGGTAGGAGAGCCTCCATTCACTCGACGATTGTTGGTCGTAGAATTGCAATTGGAAAATTACACCGACGTCATAGGAGGGTGAAGAGGATGGGCCTTTTTCTTGGAGGTTTGCAAATTTTCAAGACAGAAGGTGGCGGAAAATTGGCGACTGAAGTTGGTACTTTTTCTGCGCATGGTTGGATTTTACGGGATCAGATTGCGACATGGGACACTCGGGAATAACAATGTAGCAAGACTTTGGGCAATGATAAGTTCAATATCTATGAATACCGATTCTGTGCATTTTCAGATCTGGATTTTAAATCACGGGCGGTTGGTGTTGGGACAGTTGAGATGCGCGGCGTCCGGGTTCTCGTCCGTGCCGCTGCCCAGGCGTCAGGAACAAAGACGACATCGATTTCCTTTCAGCATTGTTGTCGCGGATGTCACGAGGTTTTCTTTGTTCAGTCCACGTTTTCCATACAAGTCCATTAATTGTGCTACGTGATGGGTTAGGGTTTGATATCCCGTCCGTGACAGCCGCAACCGCATCCCGACCAACTACCGGTTGGACTTCTGCCATCTTTGTGATTTTGTCCACATCAAGAACCCAACCACGGCTGTTCGTAGCATGCTCATCTGGTATCAACCTAAAGGGACTGCCGTTCTGTTGCAGGATGGCTGTTCTGGGCTGTTCTTCTTGCCTGCTATGGTTGTTCGTGGGACACCAGACCTGGACGGACCTGGTCGAAAAGACTCGTCCGATATCACATTTCAGAAGAAGCATCCAGATCCCCAATGGATGAACAGTTTCGATGTTTGACCTGTCTCAGGTGGGCTGTTCAGGATGGGATGACAGCAACCTTTAGCCAGTACAATGAACAGCTGGTGAATTTGGGACTGTTCCCCAGCAAAACCAGAACAGCCGGCCTGGATTTGGCTGTTCTCAGGTTGAAAACACCAAAACACCATTCACTTCTTGCGACAGTTAATGGTGACAGTCGAGAACTGAGGTAGCTTAAAAGTCGTCCGCCGCACCCAAGACCCCATCCATTCTCCTCCTTCCCAATTCTTCATCCACAGGAAATTGTCAGACCATTAAAGTCAATCGACACTCTGCAACCCCAAGCAACCTACAATACCACTTCAGTAAGTACATCACCATCGCACGTCTTGAAGTCATCGAATACTAACCTATTCTCAGCAGTCCAACATCGTGACGACATAATCGATCTCCAACCCCTTAACCAAACCATCGCGACGATCTTCGTTGACGACGACCTCCTCGATCGACATCATGTCACCACACAATCCGCCTACTCAGATGGGTAACCCCCTCTCTACACTCTGGTGGCTCAAGCTAGCTTCCTTCAACATCTTGTCCATGGGTGTCATCGTCGGCTTGATCCATCACGGCATCAAGAACCTCTCCAAGGGTGAACAAGCTCTCTACTACTTCCTCGCTCTCTTCATCTGGCGCTATCTTCGATTCTGCATCAACTTCATCGGCTTCTGGTCCTACAAGGCTGCCCCCATGCCTAAGAGCAACGCCAACTACTTCCCCGGTCGCGATGTTACCGTCGTCATTCCCACGGTTGATCCCCTCGGTGTCGACTTCTACGAGTGCCTGACCAGCTGCGCTCGCAACGGCCCGCGCAAGATCATCGTCGTCACTGCCGGAGAAGCTCTTTATGCTCAGACTCTCAGCGCTGTAGCTCCCGTCATGGAAGAGTTTCCCCTTATCCACTTTCTGGTCACCCGTACGGATATCGCCAACAAGCGCGAGCAAGTCGCCCATGTCATCCGCTACATCAGCACCCCGATCACTGTCCTTGTCGACGACCACGTCTTCTGGAACTCTTACGACCTTCTCAAGTCCATGCTTGCCCCCTTCGAAGACAGCCAGGTTGGCATCGTTGGTACCAACAAGCGCGTCCGCCGTCATGAAGGTCTCTCTGTCTGGCGCCGCTTCTGGAACATGCTCGGTTGCCTGTACCTCGACCGTCACAACTTTGAGGTTCGCGCCACCAATGCCATTGACGGCGGTGTCTTTGTCATTTCCGGCCGCACCGTCGGCATTCGCACTTGCATTCTCGAAGACAAGGCATTCCAGGCCGGCTACCTCCGCGAGATGTTCTTCTTCGGCCTTCTCGGACCTCTTCACCCCGATGATGACAACTATATCACCCGCTACATGGTCAAGAACGGCTGGAGGATCAAGATTCAGTACACCAAGGAAGCTGAGATCGAGACCACCGTCGGTGTTGGCGAGCCTGTCCATACCAAGTTCCTCGGTCAATGCCGCCGCTGGGTCCGCACCACTTGGAGGTCCAACACCACCTCTCTTTTCACCGAAGGCACCGTCTGGGCCACTCAGCCCTACTGCGTCTACGCCGTCTACTTGACCAGCTTCACCAACTTTGCGCTCTTCACCGACGCCGCCCTGGTCTATCTCTTCACCAAGTCTTCCTGGTACACCGACGCCGCGGAGCCCAAGTACGCCCTCGCCGCTCTCCTCTCCTGGATCATCTTCACCAAGACCGTCAAAGTCTTCCGTTACTTCTCGAACTATCCCCAGGACATCTGGCTCTTCCCCGCCTATGTTCTCTTTGCCTACTTCCACTCTTTCATCAAGCTTTGGGCCCTCTTCACCTTCTGGGACTACGCCTGGTCCGGCCGTAACCTCGCCGCTCTGACCGAGGGTGAGACGAAGACGAACGAGGACGATCAGAAGAAAGATGACGAACTGGAGCTTTCCCCCATGGGCGCACACGTCTGCTACGACGAGGACATCAGCGACCTGGACATTGGCGAGCCCCAGGCCCCAGTTCCCTTGAACCCCATGGCCCCCCTGGTCGGTCAGTAGAGGTAGTCTGCCACCATCACCCAAAGCTTAACTGCAGAGAATGAGGAGGATCCGTAAAGAAGAACGAAGGGAAAAAGAAAACAATCACAAAAAAGGGCGCAAAACAACAAAACAATCACTAAAATATTGCATTTCAGGGCGTTACGGATCGGAAAAAAAGAAGCCAACAGGGCATAAGAACAGCACGATACATCGGCATCATACCTACTACAGAACAGCATCACTGCACTACATCGATATCAGTCAGCATCAGCATTTGCTATTTTCAGGCGCACACCAGGACAACAGGACAACAGGACAACAGGGCGACAAGACAAGACTGTACGACTAACGACCAAAAGAACGACATGGCATAATGATAGAAGATTATTGTACGACACGATACCCCCTTTTCTAGATTTCCTCGGCTTCAGTCAACGGACGGCGCATTCGAATCATTTCCAGCATGATATGAGATCCCCCCCACCAATAACACTATGAACAACAACAACATACCCGTTTGAAGAGCTGGTCCATGAAAGATGGATGGACATGGCCGGGAGATGGATGTATGGATGGATGGTCTGGAGGATGAAGACGTAATGATAATGCGTATAATGAAGCGGCGGCTGGCTAGCTGGCTGGTCGGTTGGTCGGTTGACGGAGGGAATGGAAGATAATTTGAAAGAAGAAGAAGGAGAAGAAAAAGTCAAGCATACACTATGTAGATTGATGGTGATAATAAATGCTTGGCCCAAAGCTGAAATGTCCGTTGTGATCGTGATCGTGGTCGTGGTCGTGCAAAAATGATGTGAAATCTTTGACAAATGTCTGTGACTTGGAAATTCTTTGCAACGTGATTCCCCTATGTGTGTGATGCACGGAAGTCGCAATGGTGCCTTGCATGTGCCTGCCTTGTTAAGTACCCATTTCCAACGTGCTTGCCCTGCTGCCGCTTGTGAAAGGGTGTCGCATGGACGGACACTCGGCTGTACCTCTCTCAAATGATGTGTATGCTCAATCAAGTTGAATCAACTTTAAAACTGTCGTCGGCTTTGACTTTTCAGAGATATCTAGCCTCTATAATAATCTCACATAAGATAACATTCTGACCTGCGTGGTGTTTTGCCTAGCTCCGGAGGGAGGGGCATGTCGTTTGCAATCGATCCATTTAGTTGTCGCAAATGGCTTGAGTCTTCAGTGTCAGTGTTCGGGCGATGATGGAATTTAATGCTTGTTTTTTGTTTGTTAACTTGGTACTCTTATTTAGCATACTGGACGGTATACATCCCAAAGTGTAGCACTGGCTACCCCAGGCTCTCTCGACTATGTACAGAGATCGCGGAACTCACACAACCCGCAACATGTGTTGCACTTGCCTTCCGATAGTCCCGATCTCTCGGACGACGATCGAGAGAGAAACTATACAGCCCTGTAAGGCCTACATAGTTCGTTTAGATATGTAGGCAGGTAGGAAAATGTGACGAGAAAAGAGGTCCTCGCATGAATCAGACCGAGACATGTCATGCCACCTCACCTTCTTGGTTCTTCGGTACCATGTGCGTGACAACGTGTTTAACCAGCTTCCTTAGCGGGAACGCGGTATGTAAGTGTAACACTCTGATCCGATGGGGAGGAAAGTGTTGGGAAGCCAAGAGAAGAATGTTTGCAGTGAGACTGCGGCAGTCACTTTGTGATATATCTACATATGGAAGTTGGTCACATTCTCTTGTGAAAAAGCCTTTCCCTAGTTTTCCATTTCAACAAATCCACCATGGTCTACCACCCTGGTCGCCGCCTCACCCGCATCACCCAGCGAGCCAGCTTCGACATAGACCGCACTAAGCTCAAGACCAATACTGGGAATACGTAGGTATACATCAGCCCCAACAGCAAGCTCCCTTCCGTCCCTTACCACCGACTAGAACCAAGTCTCTCCCTCGCCCGCGCTGCCTTATTTTTGACCACAAGGGAAAGCATGAATACACTTAACATAGCCCCGGCCTGAATGCACCTCGCTCGAACACCAAAACTGCCCGTCATACGAGTACTCGGTGTATCTGAAAGCGATTACGCTGACATCCCCAAAGGTCCTGAGGCGGTCTATTATCACCACCTAAGGCAGTTTGGAGGTAAGAGGACCGCCAATACCGAGATTGCCATCATAGCCGCCGATGACCTCGCACTTGTAGTTATAAATGGATACGTGGTTCCACCAAAATTCTGCACCACCACCACCTCCGGTGTCTGTAGTGTATTGCACATGTCAGTCTTCTTACTCTGACTCATTTGGCCTGATGCAGTCCGGTAGGAGCTCAATTTATCTGCCTGGGGTATCTACTTACAAAATCTTTCCACGCCGCTGAATTCGAGCTGGCAATTTCCTTGCCCCTGACGCTGACAATATACTTCCGCGGTAACGTGGCTGGCAGTCAACAGGGCCGCACCAAAGGTGATGATAGCCTTGTTTGCAACGGACGACTACATGATAGAGGTGTTGGAGGTAGGTACAACGGTGTAGAACGAAAGTGACGCGGTAGGTATGTCGTAGAGTGACCGTTTGGTATGTTGGTTTTGGGAGAGGTGATGAGCAAGTTCCGATCGACTCCAAAGCTTGGGAACTTGAGGAATTCTTGCACCTACCTCGCCTACCTATTCTATCACATTGAAGCACTTTGCAGTTGGTCAATGGCAGGATTCTCAACTATCTTGACGGCCAGGCAATGGAACCTTTACCTGGGTAGACTCGAGAATCATTCGTTGGTAAACGGTTTGACGAATAAACCAAACATATTCTGGTCAGGGTATATACTAAACATCACTCTTTTGTTGCCGTGCAACCGTCTGTGTCGGCCGCGAAAACACTTACACATCCTTGAGCGGGCAGTACCTACTATGTAAATTATGACCACTATGAAAAGATATAAGCTCACCTACTGCGTGCTATGCGGTTAGTTGACAAGCTACTCACCGCGTACAGCAGGTCGGGATACCATTCACTTTGAGTGACCCGGGCATGGTGGCTGCCAAGCCGCCAACGATGGGAACTTATCGAGAACGGCAGGAGGCAAGCTTTGGAGCCTGGCTGCCTGGCGCTTATCATACATTGGATATTGACATGGCTCGATCCTTCGCCTCCAGGCGTGCCGTAACATCGTTTGTGAGCTCCAATACATGTATAGCCTGTGGCGGGTGAACATGCCTGTATCATAACCTGGGTGTATGACTGTTCTGTCTGCCTTCATTGTGAGCTGGCCACACCAGATCGTGAGCCGTGATGTCTGGGTTGGTCATCTGTACCGCCACGAGTAAGATATTTACTGTGGGGGTCTAGCTGTTTGGCGAGGTACGCCCAGATCAAAAGCTTGAACCATGCAGAGCCCCAGATCAGTCGGTTCAGCACCAAAACCGCCAAGGAGCCGTGGTGTTGCGGGGCCGGGGCTAACGAGCTTACTCGCCCGCCAACAGCCAACAAGCTCTTTGGCAGAAGTTTATTCGATCTTGGAAATCAGCTGCCCCTGAGGCTCTGCGCCGAGCTTCTGTCGACTCGAAGACTCAACCCTCAGAGGCTGTTTTAGTAGACAACACACGCACCGGGAGTCGGAGAGGACAGACCCAAAAAAGAGGTTCAACCCGACGGGGCTGTCGTGTTCAACTCTGTCTGTGGATTTTATATGGTCAGTGCCTGCTTCATCGGTCCACAACCAACGTCCAAAGCAGACACACCACTTTTGTCGCTTTGTGGGGGATTTGGTCCGAGGATTCGTGCTGTGGGGATATGTTGGTCGGTGGGCTTTTATGTCTCGGCGAATGAACGACCCTCGGTTGCTTCTCGAAATCCATGCACCTGCCGTTTTGGACAAAGATCTGCTGGCATGCGCGACCCGTTGGGCCTAGAAAAGCGCTATTTTGGCTAGGGTCTTGACTGACTCTCAGAAGGTTCGCACCAAAATAAGAGGTGGCGGGAAAGGGGAAAGCAATACATGACAGCCATGGTACCTGGAAGTGGGCTGGACGTTTGGAAACAAGAATGCGGGGAATGGAGTGATGAATCATCAAGGAGGTCCAGGTCGTTGGTGAGGATTGCGAGATCGAGGTGCGATGGTAATAACAGTGGACTGTGTTTGGCGGAGAGGTGGCGATGGAGCCCATGAATTGAGTTTCCCAATCAGACCAAGGTGACGTTAAGAATGGAGTCCGTCATCTGAGTGTTTGTTGGTCGAAGAGAAGTGGCCGGCTAGTGTCCGATTTTGGGCACCCAAGTGTTCCCCGCCGGCAGGCAACCAACCCCTGTACCCCAGCCCCAGTTGAGCCACTGACGCCCATCAGCCTGCCGGGAACCGAACCGAGCTCGGAGCCCAAGTACCAGTGTAGCCAAGGCGCACAGATCTGTGTGTTTGATGGGGCTCAACGTGAAAAAAAACTGGAGTTTCGCTTTAACATCAAACCATGATTCAGTCCACTCCAGTCCGATTTGACACTCACTTGAGGTTGCACATATCGAATCGTGAATACCATTCAAGACTTTTTACATCCCTTTCTGGCATTCTTCGCGATGTCCTAAATTGGCCTCCTGCGTATGTACCAGGCGTATGTTTATCGTGGCCATCCAGATGCGGATGTGACGTTCGCCTACCGCCTCTCCATCCATCGCCATCATGCGCGCAACCTTTTCCGCACCCCATCCATCGATCTCCTTTGCCGCGCCCTGACGATGAGCCGATGAACTGTTGGAGGCAGAGTTACAAAAGTGGTGGCCAGGCTTGCTGGCCGTGACCAATTGCTCTCCATATGACAGCGGTGCAGGGGAATCGATTTGACTCGAAAACGGCGACAACTGCCCTTTTTACAAAAGACATCCGACCTTCCTGATCAGGACATCTTATACAGCCACGGGCCAATCAGAAGCTCCCAAACGACCGGCGTCGACCGTGGCAACACGCTGGTCCAGAGTTGTAGAAGTGGGTTGCAGCGCTTGCAGGCCGAGCAGGGAGACCTTGCAACCTTCATGACCCTGTTGCAACAAGGCCGGGATCGAGGCTCACGACCGGCTTCTCTTTGAGGACAAGGGCAAATTGGCATCTCATGTGTTATCACATCCATGCCATCCCGCGGCCCCGCCGTCTCTCATGGTGTTGCGTTCCAGGTTCCGAGTCATCTTTGTGCTGCCTTATCACGGCCTACGCCGACCCAACAACGTGGCGAACGGGAGCACAGCCAGTTCGACCTTCCATGCCTTGGGGATCGACGTGATACGGGAGAAGAATGGGACTGGAAGCAACCTTTGACTTTTTGCTGATCTCCTGGGGCAGCTGGGCCATCGGTAAAGTCGCCCACTCAAGAGCCCTTGAACCAGCGGGATGCAGCCCGTGTCTAACTCGTCTAAGTATTGAACAGGGCTTTGTTTGCAGTAGAACGGGAATGGAAGGTGAAGTTTATTTGTTACGTATGGATTGACCTACCATCTACTGACCAGGTACCTTTTACCCCAGGAAAGTCTGATAGCTCGATACATCCAGCCAGCATCCTCAGAGTGCCCACGTTCAATTTATACATTCTGGTCTCTCGTCCAAAAATCCAGCCTTTCACTGCCAACACGTCGGCTTCATGCGGACAATGTTTCTTTTGGTCGGCGGCCAGACGCTTCGCATAGTTTTTGTGATTTTTACATCATTGCCGGCCGGTGTGTTTAATTCTCACTCGGAGTACCGTCCTAACAGGAAAACCTGCACTGGATTGTACGTGTGGTGTACATGGGGGCCTAATACCGGTACCACTCAACGGCCAGAATGTGCCCTAGGTTCTTGGCCGCCCACGCCAGGCAGGGGTACTCCGGATGCACCAGACAAATGGAGCAACTGTCTATCTCGCAGAAGAAAGGAGGAATCGCCGTCACAGTCATGCCCATGGTGACACTGGGACACCTTCAACAGATAAATATCAACATGGGACCGCCCTCTCCTCCACCATTTCCACGACCCGTCTCTTTCTTTCTCTGTGTCCCATCACAGTCGACTACGTTGTGACCCTTGGCTCACAGCTTCCCAACGGACCCTCCACCTGTTCCTCCCCACCGAATAGGAAAACATGGCCAACGTGGAGGAAAAGAAGTCGTTCGACGCTTCGGCGTCGAACGTCCGCCCTTTCTCCGAGAGCACTCCCGCCTACGAGAACGCCGACGATGTCAAGGAGAAGATGTCGGTTGAGGTCGAGAGCACTGGCGAGGTCGAGGAGGAGGATCTTTACGCTCCCCTCAAGATGGACGCTTCAGTCGTTCATGAGGAAAACCCCTTGACCATCCGTGCCCTCGTCGTCGGTATCGTTTTGGGCTGTCTTGTCAGCGCTTCCAACCTTTATCTTGGTAAGTGTTGCCTTCTACGTGAATCTTTGTCTTGAAATCCGCTTTTCTAACCAGTTTATCCTAATATAGGTCTCAAGACTGGTTTCACTTTCAGCGCCAACATGTTCGGTGCTATTTTCGGTTACGGTATCATCAAGATGATGTCCAGGTCCGGCCAGATTCCCATCATCGGTGGTGCTTTCGGTCCCCAGGAAAACTCCATTATCCAGGCCGCTGCTACCGGTGCTGGTGGTATCTCTGGTATCTTCGTCGCCGGTATCCCCGCCATGTACCAGCTTGGAACTATGGGCAAGGGCTCCACTCCCCAGCACGACATCGGCGCCATCTTCACCATCACTCTGGTTTGCTCCTTCCTGGGTCTCTTCTACGTTACCCCTCTTCGCAAGTTCTTCGTCGTTCAGGTCGCCCGTGAGCTCAAGCTCATCTTCCCTACGCCCACCGCCGTCGCCTTGACCATCCGCTCCATGCACGCTGGTGCGGCTGGCAGTATCGAGGCCATGAAGAAGCTCAAGTGCTTGCTGCTGGCCTTCGGCGCCGCTTTGGTTCACCGTGTTGGCTCGTACTATGCCATTGGTATCCTTTACGATTGGCATCCTTTCACCTGGATTCACATTTGGTCAGGCTACAAGAGCTGGGCCTTGAACATCGAGTCGTGGGGCTGGTACTTCGAATGGACTCCTGCCTTTATCGGCTCCGGTATCCTGATTGGTCTCAACCCTGCTATCAGTATGTTCATCGGTTCGTTCCTGGCCTGGGTGTTATTGGTCCCGTCTTGGTTCACTACGGCGAGTGCATCGGCACTCAGCCCCTTGCCGGCGACCCTAAGTGGGATAGCTACTATAACTTCTTCTCCCTCAAGGACCTCGGCAAGGTTACCCCATCGCCTCGCTATTGGCTTCTGTGGCCCGGTGTCATGGTCATGGTCTGCTCCTCCATGGCTGAGCTTTTCATCCAGTACAAGGTCATCTGGTTTGGCTTGAAGTCCTCGTGGCAGCAGACCTGCGTCAGCATCAACGACAGCCTTGTCGCCAAGGGCAAGAACAACGGTTTCTTTGCCAAGCAGGCTGCCAAGGTTGTCCGGACTGGCCAGGAAGTCGAGGATCCCGCCAAGGCGAACGAGCAGGTCAAGCACTGGCACTGGATCGTCGGCCTCGTCGTCACCGTGGTCGTTGCCATGATCATCTTCCACTTCCAGTGGGACATGCACCCAGGCCTCACCATCCTCGCCGCCATTCTTGCCTTCCTCTTCTCCTTCCTCGCCATCCAGATTGGTGCTGTCACCGACTCCACCCCTCTCACTGCCGCTGCCAAGGCCTCGCAGCTCGTCTTCGGTGGTGCCACCCAAAACTCTGGCTTCACCATCCAGCACGCTCAGAAGATCAACTTGGCCGCCGGTGGCCTTGCTGCCGGTGGTGCCGACGTTGCCAACGCCCTCGTGTCCGATTTCCGTACCGGTTACCTCCTCGGCACTCCCCCGATCAAGCAGTGGATTGCCCAGGCCATTGGCACCTTCGTTGCCGTCTGGCTCTCTCCCGGTCTCTTTGTTTTGTTCACCAAGGCCTACCCTTGCATCTACGATCCTGAATTGGAAGATGCCGAATGCCCCTTTGCGGTCCCCTCCGTCTCCGCTTGGGCTGCTGTCGCTCGCGCTGTCACCGACCCGGATGTCAGCATTCCTCTCTCCTCCGGTCTCTTCGCCATCGTCATGGGCATTGTCTCCGTCGCCCAGGTTGTCGTCCGTCACTTCTGGCTCGTTGGTGAGCGTGATAAGTGGCGCAAGTGGCTTCCCAACTGGGGCGCTATCGCCCTTGCTTGGGTCATTCCCGCCCCCGTGTTCGCCAATGCCGCCCTTCTTGGTGCCATCATTGCCGCTATCTGGAGGAAGTACAGCATGAGGACCTGGGATATCTACGGCTATGCTCTCGCTGCTGGTTTTATTGCGGGTGAGGGATTAGGCGGAGTAGTAGGTGCTGTACTCACTCTAGCTGGCGTCGACGGTGCCACGTACGGCTCCAACATTGGCTGCCCACTGGACTCATGCTAAACAGCTCAAACGTATGGTGTCTGGCTTCTGGAAGCAGAAGCCCCGCTTCAAACGTTGTTGATGATGAGAGATGGATGATGTTATACCCATGAGAGATTATGTTGTCTTAATTAGTTGCATGTCACGATGATACCACGATTGGGGGCCTGGGTCACAGAAAAGGGCCGGGCTCTTGATATGATCAATAATAATTATACCCTATCATACCAAATGGCTGTCCACACAGCGCCTGTGACAATTTCATTTAGCATGGATAATCATGACCTCACTGACACACTAGAACGACAAAAACCCCGGCTTCTCCAGGGCATCACATCGCTTCCTCCCACCTAAGTCGGTCAGTTGCACATATGAGACGGACCTCTTCGAAGTACAGTCCAATGCTGGTTTGTTTGTTAGCTCGAGACCCCCCAGTCAACCTTTCTGGGGGTTTACATGTCTAACTAATCCCTTGCGTCTTACAAAAATGCGTGATTACCTTCCATATGCCTTTTTGGATTGTGCTAATGGCTTTCTGGCTCGTACCTAGCCATTATGGTTTGTCCTTTGGTGGGTTTGGGACCTATGAGAACCAGCTTAGGAGAGAAAGATAGGCAGTTTGGTCTTTTACATCCTTCCGCTGGGCCGAATTAGCGGACGTTACTTGTGATTAATACCGTTTGTCTCACACATTGAAAGGACAGTTATATTGGACGTGCTTGCCTACTCACTCATGTGATTACGCTATTCATGGAGGTGAGCAGTAAAGCCTTACAAGTGACATCATAAACTAACGGCAGACACTCCTCGAAGGCTTTCCCTAAAAAAACACCTAATGGCAGCAGATAGGTAAATACCACAAGTTCCTCGCTGCCCCAGAGAATTCTCAAATCACTCAACCTCTCAACTTCATTTACTCGTCTACATAATATTGTGAGGCTTAGGAAAGTTTGGAATGTGTTTTGTCTATTGTATTAAAGGAAGTGGGCAGCGTAATAGGGGTAGAAATACCGGGCTAACAAACAAATACGTGTTGGATTGTATTATTGATCTTTCGATACCATTCGAATTATATCACCAAGCCCGCAAAACAAAGAGACAACACAATCCATGCAGCAAACAAAGCGATGGCTTGGGAGTGGAGAAAAAGAAAAAAAATGACGAAAAAGAAATGCCCAATAACAGGATTGAACTGTTGACCTTCGCATGGACTTGATATTTCCCTGGAGGAAACTTGATATCAAAGAACTGATATTAGTACGACGCTCTAACCAGCTGAGCTAATCGGGCTTGTGCTGATTGTTACAGACAGGTGAAAATCTAGTACTTATATTCCCTTGTGGATGCAGCCTCCAGCGCGCATCACGCTGAGGGTGTCCGAGATTGTGGACAACAAGGTGACGACGGACACTCCTCAATTTTGAGGACCGGTCTGCACTGGGATGTCGCGGAAAAATGTAGGAGCATCAATTGCTTTAGAAGTATTGTATCACATAAACCCTTCGAACTCTTGATCGTGGCATCATGTCCAAACCATTTCTTTCCAACCTCGACCTCCCCCAACAAGCCCCGCATGTTCATCCCACCCCACAGACCCCCTTCCCTTCACCCCCTCACTCCGCACCCACCACTCCTCTCATCCCCTCCTCATAACCATCCTCAACGCCGCATTCTCCACACTCACCACCTTGCCATTTCCATCCACTTCAAAGAAAAACTGATCCAACGGCATACTCCCATACGTGACCCCGGTCAAGCTAACCCAGCTCCCACAGTCCGTCGAGAACATGCTCAGCGGGTTTCTGGCCGGTACGTTCAGATCCTCAAAGACGGCCTTATACGCCACCCTCTTTCCTTTCGTCGCCGCGCGCCCCGTATCGCGGTTCATCTCGCCGGGAATCACCGTCTCCAGACCTGTCGGGTACAGCCTGATCGACGGATTAACGGGCGAGTACCCCGCTGCCAAAACGACAGAGACGTACTGCATGTCCGTCCCGTTGGACACCCAGTTCTCGATTCCCAGCCCGGGGCGATCGGGCTGGGTGGTTATTTCCAGCGACGAGTTGCCGCCGTTGGAGTACGTCCCGCCGTAGGTGTCCTGCGCCTGTTCTCGCGCTGCCGCTTCCAGCGCTGGCAGAAGCTGCTCACCTAGCACATCCGCGAGGTTGAAGTTCGCGTTGGCGGGCAGGTTCGGACTAGCCAGCAAGACGGAAAAGCCGACGCCGTAGTCCGGTAACAGGTTCAAGAGCGAGTTGTAGTAACCTATCCGCCCGGCCTTGTTGTAAGCGTCTACCACACGCTTGCCGTTGGTCACGCTAGACAGCACGATGCGCCGGATGCCCCAGGGGTAGCCGACTCCCGCGTTGGGTTCGGAGGTTAAAGATGTCGGTTTGAGCCAGCGGTTCGTGAGGGCGGGAGCTAAAAGCGTGGAACGCATGATGGAGCGGCCGAGGGCGGAGATGTCGCGCACGGAGGAGTACATGTTTCCTGCTGGGTTCTCGTCGCCGAGTTGGTAGTCCCATTGGGCGTCGGAGGCGGAGCCAGGGCCGGGGATGATGCCGAGGTTTGACGGGGCCTTGTTGTAGAAGGTGTGGGAAAGGTTGAGCGGGCGGAGTATGGATTCTTCCATGAGCTGTTGGAAGGGCTTGCCTTTGATGGACTCAAGCGCGTAGGCGAGGATTTGGAAGCCGGTGTTGGTGTAGGCTGGGGTGGTGAAGGGCGCGTAGGAGGGGTAGACTTGCAGGAGGCCGGAGAAGAATTCTGTCGATTGCTTATCAGATTCTCGGTCTTTGAACGGAAGATGCCGAAGGACAAGGACTTACCAGTCCTGTTGCAATGGGGCCAAACGCCGCACTTGGGCAGAGTCGGATCTGAGCTGTTCAGACCCGGAAATCCAAGCTGGATCGCAGTATTCTGGTCGACCGTCTGCGTAAGTTCGCCCATTAAGCCATCTGTTTTTGTCCGTCCTCACTGTCAGTCTTCCGAAGCCCTCGAAATGCTCCATAGAGGACCACCGCACTTACAATCCCTCACAGCCCCCGACAACTGTCCCGCAAGACTGCCCACTGTCACCTCCCCCCACTGCACGTTTCCAACCGGATCATCCTTCGCCTTATCCGCCGCCTCCGCTAGCTCGGGCACATACTTGGTAATCGGCTCATTCCATCGCACATCCCCGTCCTGCGCCAGCCACGTATAAACGGTAAAGATCTTGGTCAAGCTGCCCAGACGGTAGACTGTATTGGAATCCGTCTTCTTCACCCCACCATTGGTAATGTTGCTCGAAGCGTGTGCAGAAGCGGTGTGATGCCAGCTGAAGACGACCGGATCGATGTCGCTGATGCTGAACACCTCGAGGCTGTAGCTGGTGATGTTGGCGCGGACAGCCGCCGAGTCGTCGGTGTCGCGGGCTTGGAAGGCCTCGGTTAGGTTGGCGAGAGCGGCGCGGATGGCGGCACTGGACTTGAAGTTTCGCGGCTTTTCGAAGACGGGGCCGAGGGGCGGGCAGTTAGGCGCTGCTGTTGCGAGTGTTGTTGCTAGAAGCAATAGTAGGAGCGCGGTGACTTGGGACAACATGTTGAAACTACCGCGCCTTGGGAGAGAATCCCGGACGAGGAGGGGGACAAGCGAGTCCCCATCTTCATAAGCTTTTGAGCTTGTGTACTTCCCTTCTTCATTTTGCTCCTTGTCTTATCCTCTGGATACGATGGAGTGTGGCACTCGGAAACACGATCCTGACCACAAATATCCGGCACCCAAACAGAGTCCCAGCTGGGACACTGGCCCAGACTAGGCTCCGTGGCCGACCCGTTCCCCGTTCCATCGAATGGTGCCTGGATCCCGCTGGATCTTGAAGGGAGCCCATTGCCTTGATAGATACCCAAAAATGAGGAGGATCCGAGATCACAAGTTTCTTATAGTCAACCCTATCTATAGCGGAACAGTAGACAAGGGGTTCACCAACTTATTATTTCACCCTTACCAAGGTACGCTGCTGTTCAAATACTTGAACAAATTGATCGGAAAGCTTATCTAACTTGAGCACTTTACGGCTGAATGTTGTAGATTAATGCTTCAGGCTCGCGCTGGTTCCTGACATAACCCTCGTAGCATTCGGTTAAATCGCATGTTGCAACCGGCATCCTGGGCGGGAACTACACTGCCATGAAAACGCTGTCTCGACAATGAATGTAAGTTGGGTACGATCGAACATGTTTCCCTCTTATGTTCAAATGGAGGCTTGCGCGGCTGCTATTGACAGGATCTCCCAGTGTTCAAGTTATGAAATCAGGTATTGTTCACCTGGTAGTAACACGGAAGTCAGTCAACTAAGATTACAAGTATACTTGAAGAATAAGAGAAACTCGACGTTCTTGGTTCATGAAGAGAAAATGAGTCTTCCTGAAAGGTCCAACCATATCCCATACCCTAAATCATAGGTTCTTTGCCCCCCAACCAAGCTGCAAGCCGCCAGCATCAAACACGACAAAGCTAGTCTTAAGTGCGACGTCGCCAAAGATCGAGAATCCGATGCCTGTATCACTTTGGATGCCACCGAAACAGTCTTGGTTGGCACTATCAACTGGTGCATACGAGACCATGTCTCCTGGAACAGTAACAATGCCGTCGCTGACGCCAAAGACAAAGTCCGGTGGAGTAGGGCTGCAAGGGAAAACATAACCGCCCTGGTTACTGTCGTACTGGGCGCCCTGAATCTCTTCATAGTATGCTTTGACGACAGACTTGGGTAGAAGCAGCAGCGTGGTTCCGGTGTCGGCAATACCACTGATTGAGTGATTACGCATCGCTTCAGTTCCAACCGCATATCCTGGAGAGGTGAAGCTCCAAAAGCCCTGGCTACTGTCAACAGGCGTCCAACTGATATTGCCAACATATGCTGCAGGATCAATGTAGCCGAAGTTGTAGCTGCCCGCTGCATATTAGAAAGGTCAGTATCTTTTCATGACATGGCCTTTGGCAGGGGAACAAGCTTACGGGCCCCGTGCTTCAGATCAGCAGTAAACAGAGGTGCGTCAAGGTTGTTCTTGATGTTGTCGAAGAACGTGTTCTGTGGTGTAGGCTGAACTGTGTTGATGGAACTGAAGCCCAAACCCAACAAGCCATCATTGTTGGCGTCGTCGGTGAACTCGTCCGAAACCTTCGTGGCCGCCTCTACAGCTTGATTAGGGACAGTCAAATTGCCAATCGTGACCGTGTCGAGGTAGACGTCACCGCTCGAGGAGCTGCCGTCGCCGTAGGTGATTTGCCAAGTTGAGCCCTGGAGCTTCTCAGATGTGGAGCTGTTGTTCGGATCGTACACAGCCTGGCCTTTGATATCCTTCGCGGCCATCTCCGTGCTGAAGACCCAGAGGTCGCTAGACCCTGTGTCGAAGTCAACAATGAGATTTTGCGGTGGAGTACCAATGGAGATGGGTGTCAGATACTCGACGTCGTGCTTCTCGGCGTCCGTTTCCACAGTGCCCGTCTGTCGCTTCTGATTCCGGCCCTGACGAAACCTAGCGACGGCGGCTCTGAGGTCCTCTGGAATTGGGGCGCCGAACTTCTGATATGCTTTCGCCAACGCAAGGGGGCCATGTCTGAACTCGAAGTTCGGATTGCGGACTTGAACCAGTGAAGCGGTGCCTTTGTTGCTTGTGGTATCGACAGGACCAGGGATGGCAGCCGCCGTGGCAGTGGCCGCAAAAGCGGCGGTAAGGAGGGTAGGATATATCAGCATCCTGAAGTTAGAAGGGAACAAGACTTGGATAATGAGATGTCAGGCAAAAGAGCGTCGTTTGGCAGTTCGAGGGCCGAGTAAGGAGCGTAGAGGTTGAGTGAAAAGCCGCGAGCCAAACGAGGAGACGAATCCCAAGGATGGCTAGCTGAAAGTTCTTTGAGATGCTGCAGGCCGCCACCAGCGACGGCTTTGGAGATTGTAGGGTTGATGGTGAGAACGGGTTCAGGATACAGCTCGGACAAGGAGAGGAGAGAAGATAATTTGACAGATCATGGGAAAATGAATCGGGATTGTTGCCTGGGTGAAGATGTCTGGGAGGGGCTCACCCAAGCCAGCAAACTTCGAAAACCCGTGATGGGAAGTTCTTTCCCTAAATAACAGAACATCACTTGAAGTTGTGACATGCTCCATAGAGCGGTGAGGCGTTCTTGCCCCTTTTGCTAGCCCCACGGCAAGACTTTCGTAATGGAAGGAACATTGATTTCAACTCAGCTCACTATTAAAGAAAGAATTACTGAAGGATGGGAGGTGCTTTGCACTAGCAACTGCGTGTACTAACCCGGGCCCCGTGGCTTTCAAAGACATGTAGCTTCCGTCTAGTTCTGCATCATGCTCATCTGGCACATTTTTGTCTGACTTCAACCCGGATAGGCGAGGTGACGCTTGAAGTACAGGGCCTCCCGAGAGATCATCCCCAGATACCATGTGTGCTCGGGTGTTTCCTTTGGTGTCCTGTCTGAACGAAAGTCCAGTCGTTGCCAAGACACAACCGAGTGTTCGGTAGTCAAAACCTTCGGAGTTTGGGACTTTGGGAAGGCATGTCCAGTATTCTGAAATTTCGATTGGAGAAGAGTCAGGCGGTCCATGAATCGGACTTTGGCGCGACTGACATGTTGCCAAGATATCAGCCATTCCTGGCGGAAGGAACTATTGTTTGCTCAAAATCAAAGGCCGCAATTGCCGCAGACGTCGCCTTTTGTATTTTGACTTGATCCATTTGATTGATAAATGATGTCGTCGTTAGACTGTAGCAAGCATCCTCTGCTGGAGCTTCCACGTCCTCGGAGGATCACACCCTGAATTCATCGTGAAGCCGGAGACCTGGAGTTGCCGCAACACGACGAGTAGTGACTAGGCGATTTCACAAAATTGACAATGGTTCTCCTTTCAGTCGAGTACACCTGGCGCATGGCAAGTCGGGGATTGGGATCGTTATAACGGGAACGTCACAGTCTGATGTTGCGAATGGAAGGAAATGAAGTGCAAACTAGAATACTGACGGCAGTCGCTCATCAGCTCCTGCGCCCGCCCCCGCCTATCCGTTGCTTGGCATCTTAACCGAAATGGGCTGCTTGGGGCCAATAAAAAGAGACTGACAGCTGCCAGTGTCCCCCTGACGTGAAGTTGCCGTTTGTCTTGGCGCTCTCTACTGTGCGGCAGCTGCCGACACCTCTCGAACTGGTGGAGAAATGGACGCCAAGATGCATTTAGCTGAGGACTTTAATTGGCCAATTCAATTCACAATCTCCACCTGCTTACGAATGCCTCGTGGTTTCCTCTTTCTTCAACATCCAGTTGAACCAATCTGCAACACCATCAATGGTCAGCCGCCAACTGATTCCAAACATAGCTTGGAATGGACTGGATCTTCGTGAATATTTGTGTCACTAACTTTTCTCGCTATACCTCTTGTACAGCATCTTTCTCTCGGGAATATCGAGTTGTGATCCAGTGTCACTAACGTCAACTGACGGGACTTTGTGCAGCTTCAGACATTGGACAAACCTAAGCCTGGCATTTCCGATGCCATGTTACCTCATTGCATCTTGCAGCGCATCTACAAGGGTACTTTCGTCAGGGACATGCGGCTCTCTAACTTGGAATGCATATATTTCAATGATACTAAGTTAACAAAGGATTACATGCTGTGGGCGTAATCTTTTCGTCGCATTTGAGCCGCTATATCCGGCATATGTACATGCTGCACAAAGGGCTGCATATACAACCTACAACGTCAATTGTTGATAATCCATGGATAACCTCTTTCCTGACAGCTCGTTGACGAGACGAGAGGAGCGGGTGACGACAAAAGAAGCGGATATCAGCAAACAAGCTTACCTCTCTCCTCTCCATGCCGCCAAGTAGCACATCGTCCTCCTGGAACATAATCCGAACTCCTACCGCTATTGCGATTACACACAAACTCGGAACACCCGAGTCACCTTTCACTTACCCATCACCTGCGCTCTGGTTGCTCTTATTACACTTTACTCTCCCAGAATTCACCCTGAGACGTGCAACACAATCCGGGCGTTTAGAAGTGCACAGCGGAGGTTAAGGACGCCTCGGCCGGACATTCAAACATGGACACAAAGAACAGACGCGCCATCGTGCCACATGCGCCATCGTGCCACATAGTGCAATGGAGCAGTTTAACACAAAGAAGTGGTGTGAATTCCAGATGATAAAAAGAAGAGAATTCATGAAAGCGAAGAGAAGTCTTCCACACGGCGGTTCTAACAAACCTTTCAAATGTTCGCGGGAACATCAGAAGTGATAACGGGATTACTCACATGATATACGGACGTACAGAACCGCCGAAAACTTACGTTTCAGGTTGACTCTGATAGCCATTGGACATTGCAGTAGCAGAGCTGGAGAAACAGACAAGAACTGACCTCCGATGCCAACGACTAAGAAGTTATTGTAGTTGGCGCATTCATTTTGACAACCATCAGTTCTTGTGACGGCCACCTCGCGCAGCTCGTCGCTGACCCTGCGCTGTATGTCTTGCCCCTCTTTTTGTTACGTTTTGAAAAGCGGCGTAGCCTCGTAGCCCGCCAAACCGGAGATATCAGCGCCAAGCAGTCGGGGCAATATTGCCGCTGAAGAGTGTGTATGAAATGGGGATGTGTCGTTAAGATGTCAATTTATGTTGATTCTGTCGAGAGAGAGAAGTCTAACGCTATATCGTGGTCTTGTTGACCTTTTATGCTGAACTTCTCTGACGAGTGTGCCTGCTTGATTGACGCACGTTGCCAGGCACGGCAACGTCAATGGTGTTGCGCACGGCAATCGTCAATGGCACTGCGTTGCATGCAGAGTTCCTGCATCATTTTCGACT